GTCCGTGTAGCACTCGGTGGTCGCCTGCGACATAGCGGCGCGGTGCGGTTGTAGGCCTTCGAGCAGGTACGCGCAGACGGTACGCCGACCTCGTACTGCGAGGGAAGCGGCAGCGACCGAGGAGGCGACGGTAAAGTGGGCTGCCGGCATGCCGGAGATGGCGACGCGGGCCTGCGCGAGGGCGAGGAGAAGGGTGGAGGCAGGCGGGAAGGGAGGCGGGCGGAGGGGGGAAGACGATATGGAGGGGGCAAAGGCGGGGGGTGGCGGGCAGGGCGCCGCGGCCGGCACCTTCTCCGGACACGGCCCGCCGCCCTTCATGAGAGCTGAGAGCCCGTCCTCGATGCGGGGACGAGCCCGAAGAGCGCCGCGTAGGGCTTCTCGCGCACACATGGCCGGGTCGAACGCCGCGTCGACTGGAGCGGCGATGACGGCGGTCGGGTCGATGTCGAGGACGGGCCGAGACGTGACAGTGACCGCGCGAACGCCCTGTGCCGCCGGGGAGCCGGTGCGTCATTCAAGTGCTTGAATGGGAGGCACCCACGGGGCGGTAACGCAGCGGCGCACCGCACTCTCGTCCGCGATGTCCGTGTAGCACTCGGTGGTCGCCTGCGACAAGCCGCCGCGGTGCGGTTGTAGGCCTTCGAGCAGGTACGCGCAGACGGTACGCCGACCTCGTACTGCGAGGGAAAAGCGGCAGCGACCGAGGAGGCGACGGTGAAGTGGGCTGCCGGCATGCCGGAGATGGCGACGCGGGCCTGCGCGAGGGCGAGGAGAAGGGTGGAGGCAGGCGGGCAGGCGGGCGGGCGGAGGGGGAGGGAGGGGCGAGGGCGCCGCGGCCGGCACCTTCTCCGGACACGGCCCGCCGCCCTTCATGAGAGCTGAGAGCCCGTCGTCGATGCGGACAAGCCCGAAGAGCGCCGCGTAGGGCTTCTCGCGCAGGCATGGCCGGGTCGAACGCTGGTTCGACTCGAGCGGCGATGACGGCGGTCGGGTCGATGTCGAGGACGGGCCGAGACGTGACAGTGACCGCGCGAACGCCCTGTGCCGCCGGGGAGCAGGTGCGTCATTCAAGTGCTTGAATGGGAGGCACCCACGGGGCGGTAACGCAGCGGCGCACCGCACTCTCGTCCGCGATGTCCGTGTAGCACTCGGTGGTCGCCTGCGACAAGCCGCCGCGGTGCGGTTGTAGGCCTTCGAGCAGGTGCGCGCAGACGGTACGCCGACCTTGTACTGCGAGGGAAGCGGCAGCGACCGAGGAGGCGACGGTGAAGTGGGCTGCCGGCATGCCGGAGATGGCGACGCGGGCCTGCGCGAGGGCGAGGAGAAGGGTGGAGGCAGGCGGGAAGGCGGGCGGGCGGAGGGGGGAAGACGGGAGCCGGTGCGTCATTCAAGTGCTTGAATGGGAGGCACCCACGGGGCGGTAACGCAGCGGCGCACCGCACTCTCGTCCGCGATGTCCGTGTAGCACTCGGTGGTCGCCTGGGACAAGCCGCCGCGGTGCGGTTGTAGGCCTTCGAGCAGGTACGCGCAGTACGCCGACCTCGTACTGCGAGGGAAGCGGCAGCGACCGAGGATGACGATGATGACGATGGTGATGATGGTGATGAGGGACTCGTACCAACCATTCTTCTTGTCGATGACGGAATCGGCGGTGGAGAAGTCGGAGGTGAGCGCGGAGAGACCCGAGGCGCGACCGCCGCACGCAGCGAACAAAGAGCTGGTCCGCGATGTAGCAGATGTTGTCCGGCACGGAGAGCGTCGTCGCCTACACAAGCAGGGGCGGGGCGTCAGAGCCGGCCAGGCAGAGGGCATAGCGGGGAGGCGGAGGCGAGGGGGGAGGGGACGGGTGCGGAGATGACGGAGAGGAGGAGGGGGTGGGGGAGGGGGCGGAGGGAGGGTCCTTTTGCCTCGTCCGGGGCGAAGCGGCACCTACGGGAAGGTTCCGAGAAAGTTCAAGGGCCCACCTTCTGGAAGGTTCCGGGAAGGTTCTGGGCAGGCCACGGTGTCGGTGCACACAGAGAGCGTGCGCGAGCTGCGCGCCTGCTCGAGGCCAGGTCCCTCTCGGCTCGCCCCGGGCGCTCCACCCCTACGAGCCTCATGAGCAGCGCGGGGTTGCCCGAGCATTCGAGGGATGGGATGAATGGGCAGCAAGCAGCCTGCGTCAAGACGATCAAGGGGAGGATGTTGACGACGACGATGAAGAAGAAGGTGACGATGTTGATGATGATGTTGACGAGGGTGGGGATGAGGATGGTGACAAGGATGGTGACGAGGATGGTGATGGCGGCGAGGATGCTGGTGAAGACGGTGACGATGATGGTGATGCTGACGACGGCGCGAGGACTTATCATGCTGATGCTTTGCGGTGATGGTGATGAAGGGCAGGGGGCGAGGCACCTCTCCGCTCGCGCGCCGAGTAGATCGTTCTCTCTCATCGAGTCGACGCACGCGAGCATTCCGAGGATGAACAAATATGCGAGTGGCGAAAGAGATGCTCGACTCGCCGCATATGCTCATGCGATGCAGGCTGTGCTCGAGGCCGGCGAGGTAGCCGACGGTGGAGGCCGCCCACGTACGCTTGCCCAAGGCCCCGCCGCCGACGGTTTTCGCATCGCTCCGGGGCGTGTATTGGGGTATGATTCCGGGCGGCGATGGGCTTGTGTCTTGGCGGTGCTGCGTCTGTTGGGGACTAGCTTGGGATGGCTGGCTGGCGGGCCTCGAGTTGACGGACGGACACCTGCGAGGGCAGACAGGGTGCGATTCCCACGGAATCCGGCTGCCGGCGGGTGAATGTGAGGGCCGTGAGGGCCGCACCTTGATAAACACCGAGGTAGCAAAGCGCCGTGATTGGCAACGGGAATTCTTTTTATTGACGTTCTGAGAGCTGAGACACACAGTTCCGTTTTGAGAAAAGCCCACACTTCTACGTTCTAGTTCTCTAGCGAAGAAAAGTTTCAAATTAATACCCGAACTCCCTCGCGCGACAGGCGCGCACTTTTACACGCCTTGGCCAAAAACCACGCCTGGACTATGCACCAAATGGCACCCAGAAGCGCCAAGCAGACGCGATCGGCCAAATCCTCCGCGTCTTGTCCCGCTTGCGGCAGAACTGCGCTCACGATTGCCATCATCACGAGGAGGAAGAAGTTGTAGAGAAGAAAGCGGTCGAGCAAGGTCTCGTAGGACACCTATGATCCGAGTGTCACTCTATGATCCGCAAGGCGGTGGCGTTCGTGCTCCCGCTCCGCCGCCTCCGCCTCGTCAAGTGTAGCCTGCGCCTGCGCCTGCGCCTGAGCCTGCGCGGGGCGTCCCGCATTGGCATGTCGGATGGAAATTGAGATTGAGTCCAGAATTGGCACTCGGGTGACGGGGTCAATGATGGTCGGCAAGACGTCGACCGGAAAGGTGTGGAGGAAGTGACCCTCTTCCGCCCGGTTCGGGGAGGCGTACCGGGAGGTGGCCGGTGGGCCGGGCGCGCCGCCGCGCAACCGTGCTTTGACTTCGATGGTGCTTCCTGCGCGCACACCGTAGGATGCCAGCGGGGCGTCGTCTTCCAATAGCCGCGACTGATGGTAGAGGCCGCCAAGCGCACCAGCGGGGATCGAGGAGCGTTTTGCACACAAGCGTCTCAGCTCGAGACCGCTTGTCTGAGCGCTGACATCGAAGAGGTGCGTTTGCCCTTGTACGACGACCTGGACCTGAATGAATGCGGTCCAGAGCGCCTCAGCCGCGTGCCCATTGAACGCCTCCCTGTCCTCCGCGCGTATGGCGAGGCTGATGACTAGGCAGGCGGCGAGCAAGCAGACGAGAGCCAGCGTCGGGGGTGGGCGTCTCCACCACCAGCCAGTGCGCGATCCGACGCAGTTCGCCTCGCCCCCGTCCCTCCCTGGGTGCGCGTCTTCAACATCACCAGCCTGCCCGCGCTGATTCCAAGCATTCCACCCTGGCCGCCCGCAAGCTCCATCTGACGGCAAGCGGCGTGAGCACGTCGAGGCGCAGCGCTGTGGTGGAACCTCGCCTCCAGCGCAAAGGCAGACTCGCGAAGGGACTGGCGGTGAAAGAATGAACGCGCACACCACGTGTTGCACCGCAAAGGTGAGCGGAAGCGCACAGAAGAGCAAAGGGTGCATGAGGATGTTGGGTGCCAACGAGTCGAAGGCAAGCCGAACGAAACGCAATCACGCAACATTCTCATGGTCGTGCCCAACATTCTCATGTGCTCGAGGTTCTCGAGGCGGATATCCTTTGGCCGCGTTGGGTAGCGAGGATTGGTGTAACCCGAGCCACGGAGGCGTGTTTTCTGACGGCCGACCGTCAGTGCACGGAGTTGCCCCTTCTCCGACTGCCCCGGCTAGTTCCCGAGTTTCGCGGGAGTGACCCCATGCGTCAAACCCGAGACCTAGCGCGGGTGGGTTGGAGGGGGGCTCGCTGCAGGGAAGGGCTGTGTAAGAAGCCGATCCCCGTAGTCCGCCCCGCTCCTCCCCATCGGGCCGCGTGAGCGGAGCGGCCTCGCCTCGCAGATTCGCGTACTGCACTGCCCACCTGGACGGTAAGAAAGGTGTTCGTTCCCGCCGTCTAACTGCCATGTCACGGCCGGTCGGCTGCTGCTCTCGCCTCGCTGGCGGCGCAGTCCAGTGCCGCGGCTCCCAGCTCTCCTCGCCGATTTTTGGCTCGACCAGTTTGTCGACAAAGTTGCCTCCGAGCTCCTGCTGCTCGACTACGCGGCGGAACCGGCCCATCGCGGCTGAGACGTGATGCGCCGGCACCGGGGCAACGGCGCGGGACCATTTCCAGGCTCTCTCGAGCAACCTCAAATTTGGCCGATTTTGTGGATCTCAACCCTGCTGCTCTCTGACCACAACCTCGCGGCCCGCTGCCCGAGAGGAGTCGTCTAAGAGGCGGCGGCGAGCGCAGGCGGCGGCGGCGCGGCGGCGCGGCGGCGGATCGCGGCGCAGACAACGGCAGCAATCTGGCTGCTGCTTGCTGCTGCAGCAGCTGCTGCTGCGGCTGCTGCTCGGAGCATTCGAGGCGGGAGCGAGGAGGGGCGGATGGGCGGTCGGCGTCGGGGTAGAAGCAACAGGGCGTACGGGGTAGCCGTCACTCTCCTGCCTCACAAGGGCGGGGCTGTCCCGGAAAGTGAGAGACGCCGGGCAGCGTGGCGCATTACTGAACCCTCCCATACGTGCTTGTGCTCCTCCTTCGCTGTCCCATCTCCTCATCTCTTTCCCGCCTGGGCGGGGCAGCGGGTGGGCGCGCGGTGCGGCGTGGCGTGTGAGTGTGTGCGACTGCAACGACGGACCGCTCGCAAGGGACCATTGGGTTTGTACTATTAACAACGAAGGCGCTCTCAAAATAAAAAGCGCGCTCCGCGGTCGCTGTCGACCACCAGTCCAAAGCCTCTCCCGATCAGCCCGCTGCCGGCCCCAACAGGGCCAAAGCTACCTCCCAATCCAGAATGTGCGCAACCTCAACCTCCCTTGAGAAGAGCCCCGAGCCCGCCGGCGGCGAGGCCAGCTCCAGCGGCGCGCGCGGCGAGACCCTGCGCGCGGTCGGCGGCGCGGTCGCCGGCACGCTGCCTGTGGTAGCAAAGGCGGGCGGGTCGGCGATCTGGGCGGCGGGCTCCTTCCTCTCGGCGTACGTGGCGCGCGGGGGCGAGGACGGCCGCGGCAGCGTGGGGCGGCTCACCGGCCCGCCGCCCACGGAGCTCGACGACGGCGCGCTGCGCGGACTCGGCTCGTCTGAGGTGCTCCGGATTGCAAACACGCTGTCGGGCATCTTCTCGTCGGTGGCACCGGGCGGCGGCAGCGCGAGCGGCGCCGCGAGCGGCCGCCTCCGCGAGCCCGAGCTTCCCCGCCTCGTCGTCGTCGGCGCGCGGCGCAGCCGTTCCGGAATACGCTCCAAAAACTCTCGCTCACCTCACCGCCGCGCACCGTCGCAGCCGTTCCGGGAGAAGAAGCAGCGCTCTCGCTCCAGCACCGTCGTTCACCTGCCCTCCTCAGGCACGCAGTCGTCCGGCAAGTCCTCACTGCTCAACGGCTTCCTTGCGGCCGACATCCTGCCGCTCGGTCCGCCGACGCCTCCGCCATCCAACCCCCCCTCCTTACACGCCACCCTGATCGGCGTCTCCCCCCGCGCCCCTGGTCCCCCCTGCCTCCGACGGCTCCGCCGCTGATCCTCCACTTGGATGCCCTCCCCGTGCCTGTAGGCGAGCAGATGGTGACGCGCGCGCCGCTCAATCTGCAGCTGGTGGAGGGGCGGTCGTCCTACGACAGCGGTGAAACAGCGTCTCTTCACACCTCTCTCTGGCTGTGAACAGGTCCACTCTCCAGACCCGGCGGAGATGCGCGCAGAGTTTGGCGACTACAGCTGCGGCGCGTGGCAGTGCGCGGCGGCGGTCCCCCTCGCCTTCCCCGACCCGACGCCGCCGCAGCTGCAGCAGATCCGCGCCTCGATCGAGGCGCAGACGGAGGCGCGCGCCGGCGCGCAGAAGGGCGTCTCGGCCGCGCCAATCTTCGTGCGCTACTACTCGCCGAACGTGCCCAACCTGTCGCTGGTCGACTTGCCCGGCCTCACCATGACTGCGCTGACCGACCACGGCCAGCACCGCGACATCCCCTACCCCACGGTACCCGAACCCATCCCCTACCCCCACGGTACCCGAACCCTAGGCCAGCCGCGCGACATCAAGAGGCAGATCCGCGACATGATTGCGGCGTACATCCGGCCGGAGCGCACAATCATCCTCATGGTTTGCGGGGCGAGGGCCGACCTCGAGGCGCCGTGTCAGCGCTCGAGCGGCGGTCAAGCAGCTAGCTCCTTCAAAAATGAGTGAGTCAGTCCACCCATTCCTAGGCGGACCCCGCGCTCGAGCTCGTCAAGGAGCACGACCCGCAAGGCGCGCGGTTTCGGCCACCTCTCGGCCACCTCTCGGCCACCTCTCGGCCACCTCTCGGCCACCTCTCGGCCACCTCTCGGCCACCTCTCGGCCATCTCTCGGCCACCTCTCGGCCATCTCTCGGCCATCTCTCGGCCATCTCTCGGCCACCTCTCGGCCACCTCTCGGCCACCTCTCGGCCACCTCTCGGCTGCGCAGTGCGGGAGGAGCACGAAGCCGCATCGTTCCCACAAACACACAACCACGGACCCAAGACGCGCAAGCTCAGACAGTCGAGACAGGGAGAGACCGCAACGGCAGTCAGAAGTCAGCACTGGGCCCCAGGATGGCGAATGCGAGGACTAGTGCGAGCTCGCACACAGACAGTCAGACATGCAACACGGGGTCCCAGGGAAGGCGAGCAAAAACATTGTTACGCATCGTTCCCCAGTCCCTTCCTCCGCCTTGCCCGTCCATCTCGTCTGCCAGCCCCTCCTCCCACCTCCCGCGGCACGCCCCGCAAAGGCGCGCGCACCGTCCCCTACCCCCCACGGTACCCGAACCCTAGGCGCGCGCACCGTCGGCGTCCTGACAAAGGTCGACCTGATGAATGCGGGGACCGACGTGGCGCGCGACCTGGAGGGGTCGGTCCCCTACCCCCACGGCACCGAACCGATCCCCTACCCCCCACGGTACCCGAACCCTAGGCGCGCTACCCGGAGGGGTCGGTCCCCTCCCCCCACGGCACCGAACCCATCCCCTACCCCCCACGGTACCCGAACCCTAGGCGCGCTACCTGGAGGGGTCGGTCCCCTACCCCCACGGCACCGAACCGATCCCCTACCCCCCACGGTACCCGAACCCTAGGCGCGCTACCTGGAGGGGTCGGTCCCCTCCCCCCACGGCACCGAACCCATCCCCTACCCCCCACGGTACCCGAACCCTAGGCGCGCTACTGGAGGGGTCGGTCCCCTCCCCCCACGGCACCGAACCCATCCCCTACCCCCCACGGTACCCGAACCCTAGGCGCGCTACCTGGAGGGGTCGGTCCCCTCCGATCTGCGCCTCGCGCTGGGCTACTTTGCCGTGCGGAACCGCTCGCCGGCAGGCGCGAGACACCTCCGAGACACTTCCGAGACACTTCCGAGACACCTCCGAGACACTTCCGAGACACTTTCGAGACACTTCCAAGACACTTTCGAGACACTTCCGTGCCGCCGCTGGCACGCGCAGGCGCGAGACACCTCCGAGACACTTTCGAGACACTTTCGAGACACCTCCGAGACACTTCCGTGCCTCTGCGCAGAGGCGAAGGGGCCGCAGGGGCTGACGGTGCTCGACGGGTTCCGTGTGGAGCGGGAGTACTTTGGGAAGCACGCGGCGTACTCGGCCCTCGGCGCCGCCGGGCGAGTGCGGCTGGGTGACGCCGCTCTCCCCCTCCCCCTCTCCCTCCCTCTTCCTCCCTTTCCCTCCCCCCCTCCCTCCCCCTCCCTCCCCCTTTCCCTCCCTTTCCCTCCCTCCCTCCCCCTCCCTCCTTTCCTTTAGCTCGTGCGGGCGGAAAGAGACTGCAAAGAGACTGCCCCCCCCCCCCCCCCCACCACCACACACCACCACCACCCCAGGCGTGCCCCTCCTCTCCCGCTTCCTGTCGCGCGTGCTGCTGCAGCACCTCAAGCAGCACCTGCCCGGCATCGTGGCGGAAATGAACGTCCTCACAAAGGAGACTGAGCGCGCCCTGGCGCTGCTCGGGCCGATGGCGCCACCCCCCCGACGAGGCTGGCAAGACGGCGGCTGTGAACGGCGTCTCTTCACGGCCGCGGCCGCGAACAGGTGCCCGCCGACGAGGCTGGCAAGACGGCGCTCGCGCAGACGCTGATCGCCTCTTTCTGTCGCGATTTCGTCGGCGCGCCTCTCTCTCTCTCTCTCTCTCTCTCTCTCTCTCTCTCTCTCTCTCTCTCTCTCTCTCTCTCTCTCTCTCTCTCTCTCTCTCTCTCTCTCTCTCTCTCTCTCTCTCTCTCTCTCTCTCTCTCTCTCTCTCACTCACTCTCTCTCGTTCTCTCGCTCGCGCTGGTGGAGAAGCGCCCGCAGACGAGGGTGTGGACAGCGTCTCTTCACACCGGCTGCTGTGAGCAGGCGCGCTGGTGGAGAAGCGCGCCGACGTCAAGACGGGCGCTACCGCACCACCCACGGGACCGAACCCACACTGGATTCGACAACTCTAGAGGGTGTGGTACCAGGCCGCCGGATCAAGGACGCGTTTGAGGCGCTGCAGGGCACGCTGCGCGACGTCTCGCCCTTCTCCGCTGCGGCCTTCCCGGACGAGCACCTCGCTGCGGCCCCGCGTGCCGCTCCACCTGTGAACGGCGTCTCTTCACGGCTGCGGCTGCGAGCAGGCACCGTCCACGAGCGAGCGGCGGCTGTGAACGGCGCCTCTTCACCTGGTCCGCTACCTGTGCAGCTGCTGTGAGCAGGTACCTTGTCGAGGCGGCCAAGGACTGCGAGGGGAACCACCTCTCCTTCCCCATCCCGCCCATCGAGCTCCTCGAGCACATGCTGCAGCACCCCGAGCACCGGCCGATCCGGCAGCTGCTCCAGCCGTGCCTCGCCTGCTTGGCGAGGCAAGGAGTCGCACCCCGCCGTGCTGTGAACGGCGTCTCTCCACACCTCCAGCCGTGAACAGGCGGGCAAGGAGTCGCACCCCGCCGTGCTGTGAACGGCGTCTCTTCACACCTCCAGCCGTGAACAGGCCACCGTCCACGACCAGCTGCTCGCCCTCGCCAGCCGGCTGCTCAACTCGCCCTCGCTCTGCCGTTTCCCGCAGCTGCAGGCGAACACGCACACGCACGCACACACGCACGCACACACACACACACACACACACACACACACACACACACTCACTCACTCACTCACTCACTCACACACACACACACACACACACACACACACACACACACACACACACACACACACACACACACACACACACACACACACACACACACACACACACACACACACACACACACACACACACACACCAATCACCCACGCGCACCGGGCCTCGCACGTTGAACGCCGGTGCGGCTCCTGTCGTCTAGACGTAGAGTCGCGAGGGACCAGCCTCGCCCTTGCCCCGCCACCTCGTGTGTGTGGAGAAGTGTACCTGGCCCTGCCCTACCCGCAGGCGCGGGTCCGCGAGGAGGTCGCGGAGATGCTCGGCGGCGCGCGGACCCTCGCGCAGGCAGAGGTGGAGGAGTCCCTTCGATCCCCGCCGGAGTCCCGATCGATTCCCTTCGATTCCCTCGCTTCAGGCAAAGGTCGAGGAGCTCATCGAGATGGAAGAGGCGTACATCTCCACCGACGACCAGGCCTTCCTCTCGAGCTCGCCGCTGTGCAAGAGGACACGCGGGCGGACGGGCATGTCTTTTTCTCTAGGCCTCCGGCTCCGAGCTCGCCGCCGTGAAGCAGCAAGTGTGGCGAGCCCGATCTTTCTTTGTCAGGCCTTCCTCTCGGAGCTCGCCGCCGTGGTGTAATCTCGTGCAATCTCGGGTAATCTCGTGCGATCTCGCAGGCCTTCCTCTCGGAGCTCGCCGCCGTGGTGAAGAAGCTCGGGCAGCGCTTCGACGCGCCGCTCATCCGCTCGCTCCTCAGCTCGTACTACGGCACGGTCGTGCGCTCGATCTCGAACGCTGTGCCAAAGGCGGTGATGCTCTTTATGGTGCGCGCCTCGCTCGACGGCGTCTACTCGGAGAGAAAAAGAAACACGCGTGGCGGGATTTCTTTTTTAGGTGCGCGCCTCGCACGACGGCGTCTACGCCTGCCTCTTCGACCGCATCGCGAGGCAGCCTCCCGCCGGCCTGCTCGACGCGGATCCAGAGGCGCTTCGCAAAGGGGGGACGAGGGCCGAGCATCCGCATCTCCTTTTCTAGGCCTGCTCGACGAGCCGCCGGAGATGGAGACCAAGAGGCGCGGCGACGTCGAGCTGCTGGCCAAGCTGCGCGCGGCTCGCACGGCGCTCGAGTCGCTCGCGTAGCTCCCCCTCCTCCCCTCCCCCCCCCCCCCCCCCCCCTCCACTGCCTCTGCTGCTCCCGCGGACCCCTCTTTCGCTCCTGTTTCGCTCCCGCCCGATGACGACTCTCTTGTTCATTCGGCTTCCAGCGCGCGCGCGTCAGCCTCCGCAAAACGGTGTGAGGGCGGCCTGGCCAGCTCGCGGAGTCGCCCGGAAAGTCGTGTATGAGAGTGTAGACTAGTTGCAGCAAGGACTGTCAGCCAATTCTCTGTCAGGTGTAGTGGATCACCTTAAAATGGCCTGGGCGTAATTCCTCCTGACTGAGCGCTGAGGCTGAGCCCACCTGGGGCCCCACCAAGACCCGGGTGGCGCGAGCGCCCGGGCCTAGTGGGTGAAATGGTAAATTAAAATTTTGGAAGTCGCACTACAAGCCCGGCAAGCTCAGTTGCGATCACCCCCCATGGGTGAAAAAAATTGTTCCAGTCTTAGCCAGCAAAAGGCGGAGCACACACGACTTAGCAAGTCCGCACTAGCGACTGCCACTCGCCTAACCATGCCTTGTCACAAGTGCTCTCCCAATCCGTACAGGCACACACACTCCGCCTGTTCTCACCCAAACACTCTATCACACCCTTGCCTCCCTGCCAGAGCGAGCTAGATTCTCCCCGCCTCCCTCCCGCCTCTGCCGCGCGCCTTCTATGGACGTCAAGTGCAGCACCTAGGGGGAGAGAGGGGGTTTGCCCTGGTAGGGAGGTGGCGAGGCCGCGCACTGCAAACCCAGTGTGAGGAGTGGGGGAGCTGGGACAGGGCGTGTGCGCCTCTGATCTGTCATGGTCTAGTGGCCGATAGGATCCTCCCTTAGGCAGCGATGGCGGGTCGGGAGAGGCCCGAGTTCTCAGCCCGCCACTTACTGTCAGCCTCTCTGACTGCCCAGGGTCTCACCACGATGCCGCCCGAGTAGAGGGGGTAAGGTGTGTAGAGTGCGGCTGTGTATGGAACCTCTCTCTCCGTGGATCCCACCTGAGCCCACTCGCGGTGCGAAGGCTCCTAATGCGGCAACTGAGCCCGCAAGGGTGGGTCACTAAGGGGGAGGTTACGTTGGTTGATATGTTGTGTTGTGGCGTAAAGCTGTGCAGCGGCGCAGCGAGCCCTGCCGCGGCTCGTCGTCGAGACTGGTCGGTGGGTGGTGCCTGTAACAGCTGAGGCAGGGAGACTGCCTGTGAGTAGCGCAGCCGCGCGGTCGCCCGAGGAGTTGGGATGATAGGTGGAGAGACAGGTGCGACCGTACCTGGGTATGGCGCAGGCTGGTGGCTAGGGTTAGCTGGGCGCGCACGGCGAGTCCAGTCACATTGCCGCCCCGCAACAGCGATGTGAGTGGTCTCTCAGTGCTTTGGCGCCGCCGTCTACCACTGCACGAAGAAGGTTGGCCTGATCGTCGACTCGTCGCACGAGTGCGAGGCTATCGCCACCGCCAATGCCGGGGAGCACGTCTTTACGCGCGCGTCGTCCTCCTTGCCCTCGGAGCGCCACCCGCCGGGCCCACGGTCATCCTCTCGGACAACAAGGCCAACGTCCTCGTCGCCAACAATGCCATGTCCGCGTCGCGCTCGCGCCACTTCCTCCGCCGGTACCACACGCTCCAGCGCCGCATGGCCGAGGGCGAGTGCCGCGTCGTCAAGATCGCAGACGACCTCATGCCCGCCGACTTCCTCACCAAGTGGGTCGCGCGCGACAAGCTGAAGCGCAGCGTCGACTTCGCCACCAATGCGCGCGCGCGCAATGGGGGGGATTGACTCTCACAATGCCGGCTCTGCGGCGCCCGCCGCCATTGGGGGGGATGCGATCACCCCCCATGGGTGCCCTTTCTAGTCATTCTAGTGAATGAATTGACTCGTCCCAGTGGATGTGTCCGATTTCCGACGTCCCTGTCAAAATGTGCGTGACGTCCGATCCTTTGTAATCGTCTAGAGACGCTGGATACATGAGCACGGAGCAGGCCGCTCCCGGCCCCACGCTGCGCCCACGGCCCGCGCGGCCGGCGCAGCCGCCCGGGAGCTCAGGCGCTACCGCTCCGCTTGCGCATCAGTGCTGACTGTGCACACTGTGGGGAGTCTACAGGTATGCCCCTTGTCGTCGCTGTCTCTCTCTCCCTTGTCGACGTGGACTGTCTGTCTGTCTGTCTGTGCTTGTGTGTGCGTCCTTGGGCCTGGGTGAGGACCGGGCTTGGAGCACTTGGGATTGGAGCACTTGGAGTGCAGATTGCAGCCTCACATCCAGGGGAGGGAGCGGGGAGCGCCAGGGAGCTATGAAGAAGCGCACCCAGCGGGCCACACAGATGTGCATGTGGAGCTTGTGTACTTGTGTTCGCGAAGGATACCACAGCCCACTCTTTCCTTTGCACCTGATGCTACAGGACATCTCCCCGCGGGAGCCCATCGCACCACCAGGTGGAAGAGAAACGCCGTGTCGAAACACTCTCCGAGCGACGCGCTCGACTTAGAGGTTATTCCCAGTCTAAGCAGTCTATGAAGTCTTCAGACTGGGACGGACTGCGGGGACTGGGGGAGCACAGTCTGACGCAGTCCGCCGCAGTCCGTGACGCAGTCTGGCGCAGTCTGACACATGCTCAGTCTGCACCAGACTGCACCTCGGCTATCCCATCGCACTGGCCTTGCGTCTGTCAGCCTCCGATCAGCCGCGAAGGGCCTTTCTCGGGGTTAGTCTTTCTCGGTGTTTGTTCACCTTTTTCTCGTTCGCCTACAACCTTGGAGGCGGACTCGCTCACTGCGCTTGGCTGCGGCGCTCCGGCGCAAGCCGACGCTCGGGAATCCTATGGCGCCACTCGCTGCTCGGTGTTTGGTTGGGCCCCCATGCCCCAAAATAAGTTAGAGACTGGGACGGCGGCGCGCCCAAGATGCAAGCGGAAGAACCTGAAAAGAGAAAACCGGGCTGACATACTCATACTCTAGTGAACCGTGCGAGTGTCCCCTTTTTTATTTTTTGGACATCCTTTTGTTCATCTTTTTACCTCATCCACTAGCACCATACACCTGCCGTGGGGCTCCTGTCGTCAGACGTGGAGATGCGAGGGTCGCCCCCCCTTGCCCCACCACCTCGTGTGTGTGGAGAAGTTTACCTTACCTAAGCTCTACCTTACACCTACCTTCTCACTAATTGCTCTCCCAGGCCCGCTCGCTGCTTCCGCTTCGCGCGGCGTGCGAGCCGCGCAAGGATGGCCTCGAGAGCCGATGCGGTCTCGGGGGGGTGGGGCCCGGCGGCGTGCATGTACACAGGCGCCGCGAGGGGCAGCTGGAAGGGCGGCGGCATCGGCCTGTGCAGCAGCTCGGGCAGCGGCACCTCGCTCTTGGCCTGGCTGGTGGAGAGCAGGGTGAGCGTCAGCTCGCCGTTCGTGACACAGCGCCGGCGCCGGTAGAGCGTGGCGTGCTCGCCCCCCTCCGCCACCCGCGTGATGCCGCGGTTGTCGATGCGGAAGAGGGATGTCGTGCCCAGGCGAGGCTCGCTCGGCTCACTCGGCCCGGCCTCGCTCGGCGCCGCACTCTGCGGCCCGGCGGAGGCGGCGGAGAAGCGAGCGACGTCTGAGCCGGCGGGCCGACTCGAGAGGCAGGCAAGCATGGCCCTGGGGGCGCTGCAGCAGCTGAGGGCGCAGCAGGGCAGCCTCCTCCTCCACTCTTCTCCCGCCGGGTCCACGCTAGAAGGGCGGTCGGCGGGGTTGGTGGTGGTGGTGGAGATGTCGGTGGTGCCGGCCAGCACCGACCATTGCGTTGCTGCATGAAAAGAGGCATGATTTGTCATCACAGAAGTAGGCGAAACCTCCGGGCTTGTGGCGGAAGCGTCATCTGTGTCATCGGCGGTTGTCGAGGGTTCGGCATGTGCGACTCGACGGAAGAGGATCACTGCTGCTTGAGTAACCCTGCGCCAGCACTGCGATGGGGGGCGGGGTCGGAGCGACTCCAGGTCAATCATCGCACGGAAGAGGTTGTCGCAAGCCGAGCCTTGTCAGTGCTGAGAGCCGGTCCCAGCCAGAATCCAAACGCCGCGACAAATCGCGCAAAGTTTTTTTTTGAGCTTAGCCTTCGATGTTATGAACAATCGCAAGGCGGACATGGCATATCGCTCTCGGGCTCACAGACATCCCTCACACCCGCCGCACACCCGCCGCCCCCGCGCGCGCCCCACCCCGGCCGGGAGAAAGGGGAGTGACAGTTTGGGACTCGCAAGCCCGAGTATGTTGAGTCCTGGCTCAACAACGCAGAGAACAAGAGGGGGTGGTCCGGCTCACAAGTCCGGCTCACGCGCCTCGAGCTCGCCATCTACCGCACTGAACACTTTCGCCCCCTCGCTCCCAACCCATCCACCCCGCCCCGGGCCACGCCGCGCGATCTCGGGCGATCTCGCGCGATCTCGTGATACGAAACCACGACGACACACACCAGTCGACTCGCATCGGTTGCCTCCATGAACGGCGGAGCTATTCTCGCGTCCACACCACACCTGGCTCCAACGTGGACACGCCCATAGCTGGGGACACTACTAGGTCACACACACACACACACACACACACACACACACACACACACACACACACACACACACACACACACACTTGCTATCTAGATACTCGAGTATCAACGTACCCTGGTAGGTGGATTGTCCAAAATACGTCAGCCTCGCACGCCTAGAGCTAGGTCTGACACCCGACCGCCCCCCCCTCCCTAATATTAACCGGCGAGAGCACATTTTGGCCGGCTAATGTTAGGGAGGAGAGGCCGAAAAACGCAGACTTTTGTCCACTACCAGGGTTAAAAAGAATTTTGGGGCGCGCGGCTCCGTCGAGGACCGGGCGCGCCCCTTACCCGGCGCGGCGTAGGTCCCACTCTGACGTATAGAGGGGAGGCACGGACACCAGCCCAATCCATCAATTTCACTCGTCTTCTGGTGCCTAGCCCCGTGCAGCGGCGGTCCGGCAGGCTGCCCCCAAGGCCCCCTGGGCCGC